CCTGCATCGGCAGGCGGACTTCCAACCACTGCGCCACCAGGGAAGCCCAACACTAACTTTTTTTAAAACCTTTTTCACTCTCTTTTTAAACTTGTTTATACTTTATACTCTATTTTTTAAATTATTGTCACTTTCTACAGTGATGTTACTTTAGGAAAGACCTAAAATGATGGCTTCAAACAGGATAAATAATCCTTTAAATTACAATTATATAGTTTAGTATGTGAGAGCATGAGCTCCAATGTCCAATTTTCTTGGTTCATAATCCCAATTCTCCCCTTTACTGTGACCACATGCAGATTATTTAGTCTCTTTGTGCTTCATTTTGTCATCAGTTAGATAGGCACAATAACAGGACTTATCTTGCATGGTTAGTGTGAGAAATGAGTTAATCCATGTAACTTATTTAGAATAGTTCTTAGAATATAGTAAGCACTCAATGTAACTATAATTACCATGATGTAATATTATATTAACATAAATTTATTATTTCTACTTTTTGTATAGTGTAATATGCTTAAGAATCCTTCTATGCAAAGAACCAACCCCCGCCCATTATCTTTAAGGATATTCCAAGCTTTCAGAGTCAACTATTGATTTCTTATAACATACCACATATTTTTCATATCAATTAATTCATTTGACCTTTATAACAAATAGGTAAATTAAAAATTATGACCCCCATCTTATAGATAAAGAAACAGACTCAGTAAAGTAGGGGACACAGGCAAGTCCACACAGCCAATGGGTGAGCTGGACTTCAAACCCAGTTCTCTTGACTCCAAGATTCTTTCTTCCATACCAGAGCTGCTTTCCTCTGATAGGGTCTTCCAAAATGCCTGTATCTCTTTGAAGGACTTAAAATACTAAGTTCATTTACAAAACTGACAATTCAAGAAGTACTAAGTTAGTAATGGGAAATGTGTAATATTTGAAGGATATTTAAAGGACATGGGAAGCCTAGGCACTTCCTTTCTGGACTGTTCTGTTTGGCATCCTAAGTCATAGATATATAAATAGTTCACTACCCATATAAAGAAGTGTGACTAAGAACAGAAAGGGTGCAGCTAACAAGCCAAAACAAGCACTCATTCACCTGACGATTGAGACAGTCACTTCGTTTCTTCCCTTGTTTCATTCAGATCTCTGTTCCAATGCCACCTCCTGAGGGAAGGCTTCCTTGACCACCCTATCTAAATTACCATGCTCATTACTCTTTATCTCCTTACCCTGCTTTATTTTTCTTCAGGCCACTTTATAACTCTAGCTCTAAACCCAGTATTATATTAAATATTATTTAATTAATCATTGGTTGCCTCCACTAGCAAAATGTTAGGTCCTTGATGATTTGTAGGTAGAATGCCAACAAATATTTGGGAAAAACCAAAATTTTTAAAACTTCACCGAATTCTAGCCTTAGGACTAACAATGTAATAGGAAAATTACTATGTACCAGGTATCATGTTAAGCAGTTTATGTGCATTGATAATACCTCATTTTATCTTCAAAACAACATTCTGAGATAGATAAGGAAACTGAGGTTAAATAACTTTCCCAAGAACACAGTTCTGTCTTCAGGGCTCTTAACACTATATAATATTGACTAGATTGTAATTGGACTGCCTAATAAGAAAGATAATTGTCTGAAATACTGAGAAATAATCTGCAAAGAGTATGTGAAAAATTCATGTAAGGAGTATGCTGGGTCAACAATAAGATACTATAAGTAAATAATTTACCTTTTAAAAT